AAGCCACTCCCACAAACAAGTGCGACAAGTTACTGGATGAAAACGAAAACCTAGCTTTTATTGAATAAGTTCATGTAAACAACGATTCCTTACCCTTACTGCGGCAAAAGGATCTCTCTGTTCATATTCCAGATATTTATCCAGATTAAAGAATGTGTTAAAGAAAATGTACGCCAATTTACAATTCTTCAGATCTCTCAGTGTTATACATTCTAAACAAACGAGACGAGAAAGCGGATTAGTATAAAAGAATGAAGGTAACTTTTTACGTGCAGCAAGAAGTACATTATTTTTCGTCAAGAATGAAAAATATAGCAGAGAGAAAACTGGGAGCTTGTTACATTTCTCACTCGGCCATTCTTCATGTATGAGAGACTGGTCGCAGCTTCCTATACGATATGCTGATTATTAGGTCCTCACACAACGAAACACGTGACATACGTGACTAGACACGTGACGAACCAAAGATCGTTGACGAGTTATAACAAGGAATTCATACCTGGGGCTTTAGGTTTCACCATGTCCAACATCTAAAATAGAATACAATTAAACAATACCGTTAAACCAAGTACAGAGGAAAGGAGTAATTTAATTGCTATGATTGCTCAAGAGAGTGACTCTTGTGAAATCACGAGATAGAGAGAGCAACAGGCCACACAAACAAAAGGAAACAGGGAGAAATTCTGTCACCTTAAAATGGTAATTGAACCCAATCTTATTAAAGCACCGCATTTTGTTTGAGATAAACAACAGGATAATTAGGGTTAATGATTACTGGTAACCTAGCAGAAGTGACTGGCCAGTGTAAGAACTTTTGGAGTGTTGCTGCTTTTTTTTCATTCCAAGCTCTTCAGATGCTTTTATGACACCTTGTCCAAAAAGCACCTTGTGGCAATCCCCTGCCCATTGAATGAAAAGTGGCAAGTTTTCACCATTGCAAAGCAAGCCTGGTCTCCCGTCCATTTGGATTGTCACACAACACTAATGCTACATTGCGTGACAAACACAGAAAACAATGTTAAGGACACTCCTGTAAGCCAAACTGACTTTCATGTTTCTGCACAGACATACATAAACTGTCCTTCACATGAAAATTCTCATCATTTTCATACCTGACAAAGACAGTCTTCAAACACCATTGTCTCTATACCAAGGACTTCCATTTTAGAGACTTGCTCCGAATAAAAATATTCTAATTCATACATGGACAGAACACCGTCGCCATCTAAATCCATGCATCGAAACCAGTACTCAATACTAGAGGAAAAAAAAAACTTAAGATCAGTTTCAACAAAGTTAATGTTGGTAAAGTTTGCACCTTGCCTAACAGCTCAGCACTGTATCTGTAACATGAACTAACAACATACTTCTTACTCCTTCCTGGATGGGATGCTAGTCTATCGCAAGATCACACCCCAGCATTGAATTAATCGCCAGGCATGTCTACACATGGGTGGAGAGAGGCACCGTGAGAGTTCAGTGTTTCCCCAAGGCCAGAACAGAGTTACTTGGGCAGTTAAGCCACTTGCTTATAAAAGAGTACAAGATAACCTAAGGCAACTGGAAATCCATAATGTGGTATCTGTTTTCGTTTATTAGGTGAGGTATTATTACAATAAGAATTTAATCTACATGTACAGCATCTACATCAAGTCCTCTGTATGCATTGCAGACCCAACTGTTGATAATTTATTATTTCAATAATAACCTCCTTGGATGTTTCTTGTCCTCCTCTGAGAGAAGAAACCAAACAAACTCTGGATAGGTCATCTTTCCATCCATGTATGTTGGACCCCTACACCAAAATAATAACAAACCAACATCAAACATAATTGGTAGATTGTATCCCCAGTGATCCAAGGAGAAGCAAGGACCAGGTTATCAAGTTGCAGAAATAAATACATATTTAAACTGCAGGAAGAATATCACAAGAAGACTCCAAAGGAAGCCAATCACAACTCCAAATAGAAAATGTATGTGCTATAAAAAATCAACTGACTTTTGAATCTAGACCTGAATGACAGCCACAGAAGTACAACATTTTGCTCTGAAAGATCAGACAGGGGTTTCATTGAGGGCCAGACACTGTGAGGACGATTTTACCCGGCTGGTGACCATCTAGCAGAAGGTTTTTCTTATAAGAAAAAGTTCAGCTCAAATAACTTTGCCCACCCATGAAAACCAGTTGCCCCTGCTGAAAATGTTATTAAATAAAACCCCTGGAATAGAACACATGCATTTTGTATTTTCCTAATGAACCGGCTGATCAAGAAACACAAATATCAAAGTACCACTTATTATGCTAAATTTAATGTCAAGATCACTTCTGAATTGTTGTCCGTACCTTGTGACACACCCAGAAAACAGCCTTTTTACAATTTTTGAGGACAAAGCTACAAAAATAAATATATAAATACAAATAAATAAATAAATAAAATAAATAATATATAATGGAAAGTAAACCTCTGTCCACTATGAGTATGATTCATAAGTTACTTGACATGGTAAATGGCATTTTCATAAATGATAAATAGATGAAATTGTCACTGAAACAAATTGCACAAGATTTACTTAAAATCAAAATTCTAAATAGGTTGTAATATATATCGTTGATAATATAAATAACCTTAATAATTTATGAAGGTAATGGTAACATGTTTATTTATTTCTAAATGCTTAATATATCTGGTGTCATTATAAGAAATTTACTATCATCACATATTTACCGTGGTTATTGTGTCTCATTAAATCGTTCTCATCAATTAACAAGTCATGGTCTGTGTCCAGCTCCCAAAATTTACAGTAAATTACATAAAAATGTTCATAAGAGAAGTAGTCCGCAATCTGAAAGACAGCAAAGTTAAAAAAGAAAAAATTGGTGCATCTTAACGTGAACTCTTTAACATAAGTTCCTGAAGAGGTTATCCAAGATAAATGTGTTAAGAAATAAATAGTTACAGTAGAATAATAATCTCGATATCTGTGCAGTGAACATTTTAGTTAGCTGTAAGCTATTTTGACGCATTGTGCTCCTACAATTCTGGCCAATAGTTTTTTCCTGCTCCTGAAAAGGAGGTGGTTTTTATTATTTTGAGGAGATAATGATCAATTCTCGCCCATCTTTTTTCTTATTAGTCAGTTTTGGTTTGATGGGACCGAGGGTCACTGTATATAATTTATATGGTAAGATTGGTTGCATATTTCCTGATATTTTTTTATCGCTTTCTCCTCCACATAATATCAGCGACTAAGATCCATGTTTCCATGTATGGTCAAGCACTACTAAGTATTGCTAGCACTGAAACTTGGAGATTTGTGGGCTTGAAGAAAACAAAATGCTTTACAAAAAAGGAACCACAACAAATATATGAATTAAAAAAAAAACTTGCATTCAATTTTTAAGGTAGGCAGGTTTACTGGCAACTCGTACAATTTTTGATCGATTCTTTTTAGCTGTACCTCATTTATATCCTCCTCTTCCTCAAGAACTGCTAAAACCTGGGAAAGAAATATTGACTTGGTATATTTATCTATTAACAAAATCATCACGACTCTAAGTAACCTTCATATTACTGAGAGAGCAATGTCCAAATTTATGACTTCAGGAAAATCATTTCCTTCACCGAGCATGGAAACAATTTTTAAGATACCTTCAGCATTTTTTTTTGGCTTATCATACATGTATACTTTTGAAGCCCATTTTGCTAGCATTCTTCACTACAAGGCTTTCAAAAGTTTGTTGGACACTAAAACTGTAAATGTGACAAAATCTCTTGAAGAACAACATCATTTTTAATTTTCTTTTGTCGGCAGCAGGGTATTTTAAAGAGGTTAGCAAGACACCAAGCCTAAAGGCCAAATCTGTTACTGGAATTAATTTTCTTAACAAAGTAACATCATTGATAAAAGTTAGCATTACTGGTGTAAACATACTCACGTCTAAAAAGTTACTATTCCTCAATTCTGGGATTGTGATACGCCCTGTCCATGAGCTATTTACACAATAAAATATTCTTGCTATAACCTGTGAAGCAGAGATGAAAAATGTCAGTTATTGTATAACACTTAGAACAGTAATCACTCGGCCAGTCAGCTATTTGGCTTTAGATCAAGAGCTCAAAATCTAACTGTATATTTCAGCCCAGCAAGTGTTTAATATGTGCTGTGTTTTTGGTTTTTGATGGAATCATGTGCACATGACTTATTAGAACAGCTGGTCTATATCTAGGAATGGCTAGCTGCAGTCTTCAACCAGTCAGACAGGGTAGCTGCAATATTACATGTACAGTAAAAGAGACAACGTTTAGATAAATTAGAGATTACAGAACTTACAGTGTGGATGTATCTAGAATGAAAGTCGGGAGCATCACGAAGAAATTCCAAGCCTGGATGTGTTTCCACAATGTCCTTAAAATAGATTTATTACCTTTAAATTAGTTTGGAAAAAAGATTTGGAATTTTCAAAGGCTTTAATAAGGAACAAGGGTTAGCATACAAGGGATGGAAAAGAAAAGGTACAATTGAGCCCTGATGAACAAACACCTGTTCCTGAGTATTCATGAGGGCTATTAATGGTGAGAAACCATTCCATTCTCAAGATACTTGTACTTTCATTACCAGAAAAGAAAACAATAGTAATCCATGTCATAATTGAGGCATTCTCCCAGCAGATCTAGAGCAGGCTACAGTATTCTGACTTGTAAGCTTATGACCAAATTATATCGTCCTAGAGAGGGCAGTTGAATAAACAGCTAAATGATGCAATTTATAAGTCAGGTTTTTATACTGGACACTACAAGTCAAAATGATCAAGCAGATAATTATCAAAAAAGAGAGAAAGTGTGGGGTGACCTTGCAACAATGCAATAGCCTTAGAAGCTTCATTAGTTTGCTTAAATGGGCATGTACGTGTACAAGAAATGTGCACATACATGTACAAGAGTCAAATCACGATTGTTAGTGCTGACAGTTGTACCTGCAAGAGTGGAATAAAGTCTTCTGACTCCAGATAATTATGGGAGTGCTTTGCACTTAAGAGTCGAACAAATCTTGATGCATTGTCATGGCATTTAGATGTTAAGCTGCAAAATAGATGGAGTGATTGGAACAATTACAACGATCATAATAATCTAATTTATTACAAGTTTCATTTAATAGTCACTAACAATTGCGATAAACTATTCAAATGATTTGATTTTGTAAGATTTCTATATTTCAAAATCTTCCTTTCTTTCACCTTTTATTGATCATTGTGAAAACACACATCAAAGTTATTAAAAGCAACCAGAATGATCTGTAATGTCTTTAACTGTAATGCAAATGTCAGTTCAAACTGAAGAAGCTTAACACTAATTCAACCAGTGAAACATCTTACACAAAGTTTAAGAAGGGTCATGCAAACACCAGAAACATGTCACATTATTATTAATAATAACCATGCATTAATTAAAGAAAGCTTCCATTTTCTGTTGGTACAGTACAATTCGCACAGAATGGAACCATAGCTACAGAGTAGAGGAAAACCGTAGAGCTAGGTTAACTTTGTATTCATGAGAGCATAACACTCAGGTCACTAAAATGTGTCTGTTGTCTGTATCAACCAGTGTCTGTATTAAGCAGGTTAACATTAATAAGAAAAAAATATTGGAACTTTTTATTGTGACAGGCAAAACTATCTGTAATAAGTGGGTGTTCACAGAGTGTGGGTTCCAATGTACAAGTGTAATAGATGAAACAATTTACATGTAGACCTTTTGATAATAAGTTACATGCAACTGTACATACATGTACTTAACCAAAATGGAATTTGTCCTACAGTGTATCTACATCAAATTTGGAGAGGTGTTAGATATATTAATTAAAAAAAAAAAAATGTATAACTGACCTACACACACAAATTTCTGTAGTTAGTACAAACCTAACAAATTGAAACTATTATTAGTATGAGTATAAGATACCTTTTCCACATGACGTTAAACATTGGCAAAGTAACATATCCCTGTTTATGCCCTCCTGCGGTAGAAAACAAAGGTTCTCGCCAGTAAAGTGGTAAACCACAGGCCTGAAAGACATGACAACAAAGATTCTTGAATTACATCAAGGCTTCTCCGCTGGTCTAACCAAGGGGGACTTATCCTGATTTCTAAAGTACAAATAATAATAATTAGCTCTTATTAACTGACTAGGAGGTCTGCATGGGAGAATTTTGACCGAGGTTGTGAGTTCAGACCGAACGCAGAGAGGTCTGTACACATGACCGAGGTCAAGATTTTCCCATACAGACCGACTAGGCTCGGTTAATAAGATGTTTATTATATGGCGCAAACAAGAACAACCTAATTTGTTTTAATGCAACTGGTTTGTACTAACTGACATTTTACTTGCGAACGGCAATGAGCTGAATTTAATTCTGCCAAAGTTCGCTCGACCTTTTTAATTTTCTTCTGATCAGGCTTTTTAACACTTCCATAACTAAATTTTGGTAGAAGAAAATACTCAATATTTTTGCATTTTAGTTTGCAACCTTTTCACCGTGAAACATTAGCAGTCTAGATGCCAGTCTAGATGGGAAAATCTAGACTGTTTTCAATCTCGATTTCAGCAAATCAAATTCGTGAATTTGGTAGTTCCCAGTCCTTGTGAGACAAAGCCATATAATAATCATTATTATAGTAGAGCTCTGAGCGGAGCACCATAACAGAACCACATGCATGCATAGAAATAGAAACTCATGCAACTCTTTTTTCATGGTCAACATGGCTAGCGGCATGGATCGCGGGCGCGGGCGCCCAAAGACAATGTCATGCAACATGGCGGTCATACTCCAGCTAATACCAAGTCATGCAGTCTTGGTTTACAGCATATATCCTTAAAATTGGACATCCATGTTATGGTCAATTGACACCTGTCAAAACAAGGTATCTGTTGACCAGTATCATGTGACCAGATCACGGGCTCAGGTTTAGAGCTCATCCAGGTCATGAGTTTTTTTAAGTTGACCGCAGACCAAGTACTGGCTTTCGATTGGATCGCAGGCTCATGTCGGGTTAATCAACAACTGATTGGACCCCGCAGTGGAGGTGGCTAGCAGTGGATATTTATCGAGCCGCAAAGCGGCAAGGTAAATATTCAACGAAAGCCACCAACACTGAAGGAAATAATTGTTTTTAATTAGTATATATCACACCAGTAGGATAAAATATCTGCAAAAGTTAACTCAGAAGACTGCAAAAAGTCTTTTATTTCGTAAGTTGGCTGCCATCCTGCGCATTTCAGTTGTCGCCGTCGTCGTGGTCATGTGTATGCGCCACAAGAGCAATACAGCTTGCCATGATAACCGTGAGAAAATCAATTCATGGGTTTCCTTTTCTTTCCTATAAGGGTATGGTGCTCCACTTGGAGGCCCTTCAGACTGCCAGAGCTCCTCTATTAACCAAGCACAAGGGCCATACTGGAAAAATATTGGCATAAGGTCTTAACAGAACTAGTACAGACCAAATGTAGTGACCAAGTGCAGTCTGCACAAGGGCAGATATTCTCCCAGTATCAATAGTCCTGAGCAAGCTTGGTTAACAGAGTTTTAATACGTGACTGAACATGCTAAGAAAAAAGACCCCATAAACTTCAAACACAGAATTCTGATTTATACTCATGTCAAGATAACATTTTCAAAAAAAAAGGACAGAGAGACAGAGGAAAAGAAAAATCTTAAAAGACTAAAATGTTCCTCTTTTAGTTCACAAAAAAAAAAGCTATAAAAACAGTTAGGGATCATTCTAAACAATGCCTCAAGAAAATGTTGCACCAGCAATAGAGCATTAGATTGTGCCCATCTGAAGCTAGATATTAGCCTCTGTCAATTATTTTTTTTTGCATGGACGATCCTAGTTAATAAACAGCAATAACTTGGTAAATTAAAATAACACATACCAGGGTACTGATATGTGTAAAATAATATGGGAAAACTTGCTCCCCATGGATGAGATACTACATACATGTATTGCATGTAGATCTTTGTATCAGTTAGGCCATCTATGAAGTCCTTTGGGTCAAATTTCAGATGTTAAACTCTCACAATAGAATTGAGCATGTAAAAGGAAACTTATGCTTACAGTGTACTGAGGTGTGACTCAATGGTTTTTAGTTTCATTTCCTTCGAAACCCCATATCCCAAAATACTGCGCAAAAGAAACATTGATAAATAACGTTACAAATTTAACTTGCACATCTAAAATACATGTACATGTATATATGTACAGTAGTTTGAAACAAGAGTCAGATTCTGGATGGTGAAAAACTGTGCAGGTTCTTTACGATCTCTTGATCTTCAAAGACTGCCCAAAGAGGATCTTTCAAGGATCCTTAAAATAAAGGATTTTAAGACGGATACCTTACAGAGATCTTGACAAAGATCATAGCAAAATAAGAATTCTTCAGATATTTGTAAACTATCCATTAGAAATGAGGATTTTACCTGGATCTTAAGCAAACAACTTTTACAGAATAAAATATTTCAGTTTTTATTTATGACAGATGTTGACTTCTCATATAAAAAAAAGAAAACATTCAAGAATTTACCAGAAGACAAATAACTGTAAATATCACAACAATATTGACTTAAATTATCATTTCAAGGAAACAAAATAATAACTTGTTGAAAATCTTTTTTTGACAAAGCAGTGCTCATCTCCCCTAGGCAGCTTTTTTAATGAAATAAGTGCATGTAAGATGCCCAGTAAAATAATGTGAAAAAATAAAAATAAAAATTTATATTTTTTTCATTTTTATTAACCATTTTTAACCTGTTTTATTTTAAATATTGATAAGATTGTGTTCCCCACAGACTAGAAAGTTCTTAACAGCCTTGTCAAACGTTTTCAATGTTACCAGTATATGATTGTAATTCCAAGCTGTTAAAACGGAAAACAGTCAAAAGATCTAGAACAATGCCGTTGAAAACAATTCTCCTGTGCGTATTTGCTAAACACTCGAGTAAGAGATTCAAAGGAAGTAATTACTTCATAAAATATTCAAAGAAAAAACACGTTTACGAATTCAGCAAGACAGCAATATAAATATTAAACGGGAACTTTTTCAAAAGCGATTAAATAAAAAAGGTCTCTATTTTGCATTCAAAAATATCGACTTCTTGACGAATGTTGAAAAATATTGACTTTGATTCCATATTGAGCCTGTCGCGAAGGTTAGTAAACTTATAAGCCTAAAATTACGGCGTTAAATATTGAATAAAAACGGTTAACTTAAATATTTCCCATCGTTTGATTCCTCGGATGAAAGTCATATAATAATTTAGTTTTGATCAGGCTGATATTGAATCGACAACGAAGACGAAATATAGGCTTGAAATCCTTCAACAAGCTATATTTGAAAATGCGACCACTGTGCGGGAAGAAATTATACAAAACGAATCAACTTTTCGCAATTCGAAACAAAAGCTAGATATTAGTCTATTACGTAAGCGTCTTGAAAATTTATCAAACAACGTGAAATATTAAAAATATTTCTTGAGGCAATAAGTACCCACTTTAATACGAACAGACATATCGGCGTAGCTGATTGATAAACTCAACAGCCGAAATCTGTAAGCTTGTCTTTGCTTTCAGACGTAAGGAAAAACAAACTCGCGACGATATTGAAAGATTTGTCGTTTCAATCCTAACGTATTTCCGCTTAAGTCTTTCGAAGAAACAGATTTCGTGCCAAAGTGGCAGACTTTGCTCTAAATGGTATAAGATTTCATTGAAAGTTCACACAAAAAGACAGACATGACTCGGCACGATCAACCCAAACGTAATAAGAAAGCACTTGATGCTGAATGTGGCACTCATGTGCCTTTACCCTCTTGACAGCGGAATAAATCTTGAACCAACAATGAAACGTTAAGTTACAAACAAAATGTTTGATAGCTACAGAATTCAGTAAAATTAAACAACGCTTACTAAATAGTTAAGGGGTCACAAAAACCCCACTGACGTTTATCCTTACATGTAAACACCACACCACAACACGTTCTTCGTATTCGACCAGGAGCTCTAAAAACGTCACGCTATAATATCGGGTATCAAGTTTATTCCCGAGTTAAAATAAGTAACCGTATATAAACGCCGACATTAGAAAAATACCATACCTTAACAACAGTTCCAAACTCCTCTTTGGGTATTCCGTGATCGTAAAGTTTGAAAATTCTGGCCACCTTCTCCAACGTGACTTCACACTTGGTCGAGTCTTCTGGCTTTCCGAGCGGGAAGTAGAACGGTGCCAATTGGGCGGCACAACCAGCAAAGATTCTCACATTATTCAACACCAGCTGTTTATCCTTCATCGGATACTTCGTCCCTTCATTGTTTTCTAACCGAGGTGACCGTGGAGGCGATTTCGAGCCGGGTCTTCGAGAACACCTCTCTCTTGGACTTCGCGGCGACCGCAACAATTGTGACGGAGAGCTGGTTGGTGGAGCCGGAGGTGAAATGGGTCGTGTAGCGCCGCCTATTGAATTCGGCGAGCCTAAATGTGACAATTGCCTTGGCGACAGAGGGCGGCCCTGGATTAACTTGTTCAAATCATTTCTGAGAATACGTTGAGTTTCGGGCATCGACAACCATCGAAGAAACAGCTCGTCGACTTTCACTTTCAGTACTGGAGAAAGATGCGCCATAAAACTGGAAATGTTAACGTCAGATTGAAGTGGCAATCTATTATCTACGTCTGTACATCACTTCCTCCCGTTGTGGTTGAGTTGGCCAAACTACGAAACATAAATAAATAGACCTCTTTTCATCGACCAGCGCAGTTAATATCCCACGATTCAAGCTTTCGTTCGTGATAACAATTTCCGTTGTTGATTTCGTTGTACTTGAAGTAGGATAAAACAGTACAATTCAATAGACTCTACCAGCATTCGGTTCGCTTTGACACCAGCCGTTTCTTGAAATCATAACATGGCAAGCCAGGAACATAACAACCACTGCCTACAAAATTGACTTCACGCCATTTTTCGATCTTTCTGGCAAGGAAAAAATCGAAAATCGAATACGGCGCGGTCGGCCATGAGCAAACAGAACAACGATCAGCGGTCTGATCAGCATAAATTAGCAGAGTCGTTTCCAGTCTCTAGGACGAGAGCTACTATCATGAGGATTGTACAAGGGGGATCTCTGGCACCGTTCACGAACGGAAAAAAACGGCGGATAACGGATCACGGATATAAAAATTTAGTTTTCCCGAAGCACGAAACTAAGCAAGTAAGAGTGTTTGAAGAAAACAAAACCGCGAAAGGCTAACCATCCGGAGGACTCGCGTCTCAAAATCACGCGTAGAATAGAGTGGTGAAATCAAGAATATCGGTTAATAATTCAAGTTCTGCATTAGTCCATGGGCCAGACCCTCTCAGATGTACCACACAGAGGGACCAGCTGAGAGTGTGACAAATTTGAAGCTAAGTTGGNGGCCGAAAACAAAACTTGCCATAATGAACTCAAAGACTAGCGAAAAGTTAAGAAGTCCTTTCTGCTATTATAGCTCTTCCTACGTATTCTTTGATTAAAAACAGCTTGTCTAATGCTCTGTAACACGTGTTGTGTGGAAAAGTATAGTACATTTCTCCCCCAGCAATTTTCGGAGGTTCGGACTTGACACCCCTGTACCCGAAAGGGGGCCTCCCTCATGAAAAGGACGGGGGTGCTCGTCAGAAATTTTGAAAAGAACCCTTTAGAGGTACGAAGATCTTTCTTGCTTTTTGGGGGCGTGTCTTGAAATCTTTTCGCCTCCAAGAGGTACCAGTTTTAAAATAACACATTTTCTCTTGTCATTTTTTTTCGGCCCAATGCCCTAAAAGGACGTACCTGAAAAGCACCCTTTGTGGACCGTGCGTTTAGAGACTGACCACCCTAAAAGGTTGCCAAACCCGCTTTTTTAGCGCCTGAAAGGTACGACGGGCCTTTTTTATATGGGAGTTACCCCCGGGCTTCCGCAGTGTTCTGTAATGCAATGTTTTTGCCTTTTTTCGTTTGTTTTTCATTCTTGACGACGGCTGGTTGGCACAACCTTCGCTTGTTTTGGCCAGGTGTAAAAACTTTTATGTACAATAACATACCTATACATAAAACCCCAATGGATTGACTCCTTTTTTTCTGTCCGAGTGTTTTGAAATCACTTATTGTTTCCAATGAACTGAGCAGTATACCCTCAGTTAATCTGTCGGATTCAGTGAAATGAGAACAATCCTTTTGACTCAAAAGATTCTTTTATCTTTAACTCACATAAAAAGACAATGACGCGACGTGTCTCATTTTCTGATTTATTGATATGTAATTATTCTAGGATTATGATAAAATTGCAGTCTGTTATAAAACACTAAGTATCACCCCCTACAAATATTTTATTTATTGTTATGCGCTTCCAACTACGATTTTCCAGCGATGAGCGTATATAATTACAGTATTGGCTATTAAAATTACTATCGGCTTGATATAACGCCGTCTAGTACCATGAAAAAGTCACAGTAGTCATTGTTAGTAGGCATTACCAAACTTTATATCGCTAACTATGTATCTACAAATCAATCTAAGTCAAAAAAATTCCTAAATCCTGAATAAAAAAAACCTGAAAATGTTCAGGAAAAAAGTCAGAACTATGTTAACAACCGCAGTTTCTATATATTTCCACGGGGTCTAATGGAATTATACCTCAAAGGCGATACCAAAGCAAGCTTCTTTTTGAATTTACTTACTGTCTATTTAGCGATAACTTAGTTGTATGTACAATTAGTATACGTAATCGTATAAAGAGGGTCGTAAAGGGGAGGAGGGGGGGGG